AGAGCTACGTCATACAAAGAAAACATATTAAAAATGTTTTACAGGTGGCATTGGACACCAGATAAACTATCTAAATGTTATAAGAATGTCTCAGATACATGCTGGAGATGCAAAAATAACATAGGAAACTTTTACCATATCTGGTGGAGGTGTGAAAAAATAAGCAAGTTTTGGAAAAAGGTCAAAGAACTGATAAAAGAGATTACAAATATAGAACTCCAACTTATCCCAGAAAGTTATCTGCTTAACATGATTCCAGATAGAATAAATAGAGAAGACTTATGTATCGTTCTATATATTCTCGCAGTAAGCAGAATCCTCATAGCTAAAAAGTGGAAATCGGATCTAATACCAAGAAGAGAAGAATTAATGGAAAAAATCCTAGAAATAGCGGAAATGGACAGATTAAACTTGATATTAGCAGGGAGAGATGATAATGTTTTTAAGAAAAGGTGGTTTAAAGTAAATATATGGATGGGAAAAAATGTATAATGTACACTCCCAAAAATGTTATGTATAAAGAGAATTTACATCTTTTTTGTAACGGAAAATATATAAATAAACTTTACAAAAAAAAAAAAAACCTGTCATACAGCTGCAATCTCACTTTGCATTACTGAACCACAAAAGTTAATCATGACAAGATACATTTACTTCACAATGCTGCCTTACGTCCACTCAGTAAACTGAGGATTTCATTCCAGGTCCTCCAGGTCCAAAAGTCATAACCACCACACCATACTGGCTCAGAACTAAGAATCTACTATCACAAAAGCTGATCTAGCAAGAGGCACACCCCTAAAGTAGACTTCCACATATACATCCCCTGTAGAAATTGGATCTATGTGTACAAGATGATACCAAGCATCCACTGCTCCCAGTTGAAGGGGAGCTGTGACTCTTGAAGGCACATACTCCAAAACATTCTTGATCTCCAATCTGCACCAGGACTATGAATTAAATACATATGGCCATAAATATTTTGGGACTACTTATGTTTGAACGACAATGACCAGCCATAAAATACACACCAAAAAAGTGAAAACATGCAGCAAAAATCTGGTCTAGAGATCTGAACTGCAGAAATAGGCTAACACGCATTATTAATTTTAGACCAGGAAGGGCAGATTGGGAGAAACACTGCTACCACATAAGGCAGATATATATAGGCAG